ACATTCATACAGAGATTATTTTAATAATCTCTCCTTGGTGGGTGTGTTGTTTCATGAACCAGTGAGAAAATAAAACAGGGCCCGGGAAGTCCAGCTGGAGGAGTGGATTTATGTATTTAAAGCTCATTAGCTGCCAAAACATAGCACCGCTGTAAATGCTTACAAACCAGATTGCACAGCACTAGAAAGTTACACCGGGGCCATCTGTTTCATGTTTGGTCATGATGATCTGGAGGTAAACAACAGAAATTTTGTGCTCATGTCACACAGTAATCCACCAGGAATGAGCACTTGCATGTACGTGTCTGGAAAACACAGTATCCTGCTAGATGATGTCACACTGCTTTGCAGAAAAAGTTGAACCAGATCCACTAATTATTCCACATAGTGCTGTGCGGGGTTGGTGAAGAAGCTGGTTGCCTTCCCCAATTCAAATGGATAAGAATGCTGCTTCATTTCTAACAAGCAGAGTGAACTCTGTGTGAATGCGGCCTAAGACATGAAGAGCAACTTGTAGCTACAAAATCCCAGCTCAGGATTTACAACAGCCAGGAGACTACACGTCTTCCCCTGCCTTCGAGTCACTACTGCATGATCCATAACCAAGTTACTAGAGCTGAGCATCTCACCCTTTCAGCAGCATATCCTGTTGAACTCTCCATTCCCAAATAGGGACACTGCCAGTGGTATGCGCAGAACGACAGCTTCCTTTATCTTCGACTCATATTTCTATATTTCATTTTCCCCACAGCCATTACTACTGAATTGTCCAAAATGAAAACTGAGCTTGCGTTTCCTCATTTAAAAGAGAGATGTTATCAAAGCTGACAAATCCATTCATACTCTTCAATATCTCACTCTGTATTCAGCTGTACTTTAATTTCGCTGTACTAGCAGCATTACCCTGGGGCTGCTGCAAACTCAAAAAAAGGCAGATACCCACTAGTTTCTGTCTTTCCCGCTCTCTATCTCTGTATTTCTGTCACCCTCCCCTCTGACAGCCCCTCCAGCCTGAAGGCAATCCAACTATGTCCTGCTCATTGATCAGAGAGAGGATCAGTGCAGTGTGGAGGTAAACGGCTGTCACAGGGAATGATAGACCTTAACTCAACCATGGTTGTTCCCGAGGCCACTCAACCTCCACTTATAGTGATGGATGCAAGAATGTCCCCCATCACATTCCTGACAGTGGGGAAGACTTTGTTCCAGCACTAGAGGATTTAGGAAACATTAACATAAACATCTGTTTTCAGAACGTAATCAGTTTTTTCCTAACATGAGCAGATGACAGGGATCAACTCAAACACAACACAGCTTCAGTGTATTCAGCTTCCATGTTAAATCCTAAATCAAGGTGGTTGAATCTTTTATTCAATGCACAGAAAATTAATAAGCAACAATTAATCATTAAATTTTTGTTAATTTACTTTTCCCCACTGTTCCCGGTTATTTTAATCCTTTAATTTTCAAGCAAATATACCCCAGTAAATCACTGCCTCCAGCTTCAAAACCTGAACATTTGTCACTCTTCTTTAGGGCTACAACTAATCATTATTTTCATTACTCATTAATCTGCTCATTATTTCCTCAAATAATCAATTAAGTGTTTTGTCTACATAATGTCAGAAGAGAGTGAAAAAAGCCTGATATAATTTCCCCCAGCCTTGGTTTTGGACCAACAATCCAAAACTAAATACTCAGCTTATTATAATGGAAGATAAAAAAAGAAACATCTAACTCTCAGATTCAAGAAGCAGAAACCAGCAAATTCAGCATTTTTTATTCATTTAAAATGAATAAAATTATAATTATCAAAATACGGTAGTTGCCAATAACACAACTTAACACTGCAGCTCATCAAACAAACTGACTTCACCAAACTCGTCTTAAAAAGTTCTTGAGTTTGCAAGAGACACTTAAAAAAGTAAATAAAGGTCAAAATCAAAGCGGCACAGGCAGCGATATCCTGATTTTTACCCCCTGCAGTAGTTCTGACACTGGATCATATACTTTGCATAATGCAACCAATATCATATTGTCATTAGACGGTCCAGGTCTTTCAAAATCCATGCCCGTGTTTGGAACATGGGCTTTCTGATATAAACTTGCAGTTTCCAAGTCCATGTTCATATGACAAAAGACCAAAAATCAGCAAAGTGCCCCTTCAAGTAGCTTCACTGGAAACAGTCATTAGTTGAAGTCCTAGTATAAATTGACTCTGTGCCTCATTGTATTCACTACAGAAAATGTTTTCTTGCTTATACTCAACACTTAGGGGACCTAACCACCAAACTATGAGCACTCATCCAACATCTGACTGACTGTGAAGGACCTGGAGTAAAATACTTAATACATCACAGCACTATAAACCAGAGGCAGCTAAGGCAGTGAATAAAGCGTTCAAACAAAGATGAGTACTGTGAGCCTGTTAGTGGGAGATTCTTGAATTGTATGACCCCCCCGGTTGCTCTTGACCAGCTTTTTTTTTTTTTTTACTACTGTTAAGAAATAAACACAGGAAAAATACAAAGACAGCAACACTCCAACTTTTAACAGCTAAAACTATAAATACATCTGGTGCATTAACATTTCTCAGTGCCCTTTACTACATATTGATACTTTGTTGTTGTATGGGAATGCAGTCTACTGGAAATTGTCTGTTATATGGTTTGCAATGAATGTGGGATAAATGGCCCAGTGAAAGTAAAGGTTTGGGGTCCTCCAGCCATTCACATTTATCAGGGCTAGAGAGTCTGATTACTTTGTTTACATGTATCCAAGCCAAATCAAATGATTTTCAACAGTTAGTTCCCTCTTCCTCCAAGCTCCCAATCGCTCACAGGATAAGAAATGGGATAAAAGGCATTATACAGTCTAATGAGCAAGATGCATTTCATTACGAAAGGAGGAAAACTAATCCTGTAATAAAGTTTTGGAGGGACAGAAGCTTTCACAAATATGAATTAGCCTACATTAGGATGGGGTCCCTTTTAACTCACACTTTATCAATAGTGGAAGGTAACTAAGAACACTTACTCAAGTATTATACTTATGTACAGTTTGGAAATACTTGTACTTCAGCATTTCCCTTTTCGGTTACTTTATATATTTATACAGTTACAGTGGGTACGGAAAGTATTCAGACCCCCTTAAATTTTCCACTCTTTGTTATATTGCAGCCATATGCTAAAATCATTTAAGTTCATTTTTTTCCTCATTAATGTACACACAGCACCCCATATTGACAGAAAAACACAGAATTTTTGACATTTTTGCAGATTTATTAAAAAAGAAAAACTGAAATATCACATGGTCATAAGTATTCAGACCCTTTGCTGTGACACTCATATATTTAACTTAGGCTCTGTCCATTTCATCTGATCATCCCTGAGATGGTTCTACACCTTCATTTGAGTCCAACTGTGTTTGATTATACTGATTGGACGTGATTAGGAAAGCCACACACCTGTCTACATAAGACCCTACAGCTCACAGTGCATGTCAGAGCAAATGAGAATCATGAGGTCAAAGGAACTGCCTGAAGAGCTCAGAGACAGAATTGTGGCAAGGCACAGATCTGGCAAAGGTTACAAAAAAATTTCTGCTGCACTTAAGGTTCCAAAGAGCACAGTGGCCTCCATAATCCTTAAATGGAAGACGTTGGGGACGACCAGAACCCTTCCTAGAGCTGGCCGTCCGGCCAAACTGAGCTATCGGGGGAGAAGAGCCTTGGTGAGAGAGGTACAGAAGAACCCAAAGATGACTGTGGCTGAGCTCCAGAGATGCAGTCGGGAGATGGGAGAAAGTTGTAAAAAGTCAACCATCACTGCAGCCCTCCACCAGTCGGGGCTTTAGGGCAGAGTGCCCCGACGGAAGCCTCTCCTCAGTGCAAGACACATGAAAGCCTGCATGGAGTTTGCTAAAAAACACCTGAAGGACTCCAAGATGGTGAGAAATAAGATTCTCTGGTCTGATGAGACCAAGATAGAACTTTTTGGCCTTAATTCTAAGCGGTATGTGTGGAGAAAACCAGGCACTGCTCATCACCTGTCCAATACAGTCCCAACAGTGAAGCATGGTGGTGGCAGCATCATGCTATGGGGGTGTTTTTCAGCTGCAGGGACAGGACAACTGGTTGCAATCGAGGGAAGGATGAATGCGGCCAAGTACAGGGATATCCTGGACGAAAACCTTCTCCAGAGGGCTCAACAAAGAGTGAAAAATTTAATGGGGTCTGAATACTTTATATACCCACTGTATATTTCAGAGACTAATATTATACACTGCTCAAAACAATAAAGGGAACACAAAAATAAGACATTCAACTATGTTGTGTTCCCTTTATTGTTTTGAGCAGTATACATTTATCTGACAGTTTTAGTTGCTGGTTACTATACAGAATAGGATTAATTATACAAAATATAATCAACAAATATTATGATGCACTGTTACAAGTTAAGAGAAGATTTCCAGAAGCAAATTCACAAGCTCAGAAAATATAAAATCATTCAAATCAGCCCAGAATGTACCACCTGCAACTTTAAAAGTGGCGTAGCTGCACCTAATGGATTAATAAGCTCATTCCATAAATTCAGAATGAGTACTGATTATACTAACTGATTATGGGCTAATACGTTTTGTCATGTTACTCAAAAACGTGTAACAGAGTATTTTTCCACAGTGATAATTCCAGCCTACTTTTTTTTTTTTTAAATCTGAGCACTTTTTTCACCTCTGCAATTTATTAATGTAAACACATGGCAAATTACTAACTATTTTTGTGGTATTAGTTTTTAGGGATAATTCACAGTTCCACTGAGTTTAAAGATTACTGTGTTAAAACAGTGCATTGAAGAAACGAAAATAAATAAATAAATGGAATGAAATGAAATGAAAAATGGCATAAAATGCTAAGTCTCTTGCAATTTTAATACATCTTACGTGAATATTATCTTAGCTTTAGTGTGTAACATGTAATGTGTGACTTTAGACCAGCCTACCCGTGTAAGGTTCATGCAGGAGAAACATTGTCATCAGCTTCAGGTGTTAATAATAGACAGTCCCAACAAAGGTGAAGTCGTTCAAGTGACATATAATGATGCTCTTGTCCGTTTATTTGGGGTACAGAATGCAAAGATATACAGTAAATATATACATGCTACCACTAAATTCACATGCGCTAAGCTAGCTTCAAAACAGTTAACCACAACATCCGGTTTTGTAATTTCAAAATAAACTCCACGGTGACACTCGGGTACTTCGTTTTGACAGATTGCAACTCACGTAGTTTGTTTTTCAAGGGTCAAGTGTCAGACGAGGTCTGTAAATAACAATACACACATTATTTCTTCAGAGAGTTCCGCTGTGTACGTGAATACTTAATCTTCTTAAAAGAGTGCCTTAAATTTGAAAGAGAGCCTTGTGTTTCCCATGTTACAGATAACAGCAGGTGTATTTCCATGTGTGCATGAAGTGAAGTCATATACACAGTGCAGTTTTTCTAACTAGATAGGCTTTTCTGATTACAAGAGAGAGAATATGTGGCTGAATTTATACCAGAGAACAGATAACTTTTGAAATGACTCAAATTCACAAAAGCAGAAGAGTAGCCTACTTATCCCACTGGTAATCCAGCTTTGCTTTTTAGTGTCATGCAAATGGCAAAATTGTAGTAGTGGACTACAGCAATTAGGAAATATCTTACATACTGAGTAATGAACAAGAGTGGTTATAAAAGTATTTTTAGTTTTCATAACATGATCAAATGAATATTTACTTATTAAGGTATGTTATTAATCAATCAACCTTTATTTACATAGTGTTTTAAAACAACTGGAAGTCAACCAAAGTGCTTTACAACAATCAGATACAATAAAATAAAACAAAATAAACAAACTGAGTAGATAAAATGAAATAAAATAAGTATATAGACAGATTTAGAGTTAAAAGCAGGTTAAGACAAAAAGAAAGTGCTAGGGCACTACTGGGCAGTAAAAGCCAATGTAAATAAATAAGTCTTTAGTTTGGACTTAAAAAGCATCATGTCTGTGACAGAATGTCAAACGGTTGAACGTGCTGCAATTTGGGACCAGCCAAATCACCCCATCACTTACATCTGGATCTCAGGACTTCTAAAATAGTTGACCAGTAGACCAAAGTGCTTGGTCTTCCTTGTGGGGGGGTTAGAAGTTCTATCAGGTGGGAAGGGGCCATGCCATTAAGGGCTTTAAAAGCAAACATTAAACATTTTAAATCAATTCCGGGACCACCCCCAGATTATTTACCTAGGGTTTAAGATAGAAGGCTAGGGATCCAAGATTAGAATCAAAGCAACTAGCCATGCCCAAGGTACCAAACACAATGCATTCACTCTTGTTTTCATTCAGAAACAAAACATTGTGTGTTAAAATGACTAGTAAAGACTCTGAAACAATACTTGAAGCTATTCACATCAAATTTGTCATGGCAAAAACGTTTTGGGATTTTTTTTTTCCCACAATCAAATCCTCAGAATCAGCTATGTGCTTAAGTGGTGCTGCTGAGCCCCGTATGCAGTATACTTCATATATAATTTAAAGCCCTACAGCAAAACAATAGCAAGAAAGCTTTAGCAATTTTATTGTCACATACAAGTATTCCATTATCACAGGTGTTTTGGCAGGGTGATTTGTATATTTTTGAAGGCAGTGAAGTTGAAGTTGGTTTATATTGTGCCATGAGAATTATAAGCAATTTACAAACTCTGCAGGGTGGGGAAATAATTTGAAAGCCTTTCAAAGTAAAAAAAAAAAATGAGATAAATGGTTGGGCAACAGATGACCTGCTGTTTTCACTTCACCCTGTCTAAAATTGTTGATGATATTCTGCAGTTATCACTCAATGCCAATGTCTCATTGAAAAATGAATTTGTATTACTGTCCCTTCACCCTAGAACTAAGGTCAGAGATAAACAGAATAGCAGACACATCGTAAAGTGGAAAAGAATCAAGCACAGACTGCATCCATCATGCCCTGCAAAGGGTTCTCAGCATTGATGTTTCAACAGTTTTGATGTAATTACAGAAATAAATGAGGCATCCGCTGTTCATGGAGCACAAATGTTTATTTCTCAATCTGCACAGCCATTTTCTGGCTTTGGAAATTACATGTTTACAGCCAGTCTGCACGGAAGCAACACCACATACGAACTATGTTAAAAGAAAAACATAATAAATGTCTACATTAAAATGCAAAGAGTGCTCTAACAAAGGAAACCAAGTGTTTTTATCATCTGCCATGGGATAATAGTACATAAAGGGCGGAATAAAATAAGAGCAGGGATTTGGAGATTAAATGAAGTTTTCTACAGTAAGAAGCATAACTTCTTTGACCTTTAGGGAAATTTGTAACGTTTTAGATCACCTAGCAGACTTTGTTTGTACCTGAAATTTGCATATCACAGTATATTATATTTACTGCAAGACGTAAGGGCTTTTTAAAAGCAATTTACTCAAACTACAGGCAATTATGTCTGTAATCACAAACACTGCTGATTATTTACAGCAAATGGTTTAAGATAATGTACTGTTGATGCAGTACAGTATACATTGTATTTATGTACCAGTGTAAGCACAGAGTGCTAAAATACTTAAAGTGGCAAAATCCACATTGTGAATATACTCCATTACAAGTAAATGTCTTGGATAGACTGGTGTACTGCATTAGTACAGTATGTCATGTCCTCATTTAGATTCGTACTCCGAGTTCTCCAAGAAAACACTAATGTCTCCCAAAGAAGGAAAAAAAAGGACAATTTTAGTTTATGCACATGACAGATTTTTGTATTTGTATTTTTGACATTAGGTCAAAATGATCTCCACAGTGACACGTGCTTTCATGCACAAGTGAGAGTTTAGAAGCAATTGCTGCGAAATCAAGCTAATCAAATTTAAACCAGAGCCATATAATCCTGATGAAGTGGACTGAAATTTTAAAAAGTCATTAAAGACCAGCAAATTTTGTCTTTGGAACTTCACTTTTTCTTGTGCTTGTTGTAATCATAAACATTTAATGTGATGGAGAAATAGTTATGGGTTCTTTTCAGGATCCTTAATGCATGAAAAGTGAAAATACTGGTGGAAGGGTTCTTAAAGTAATTTGGATAAATTTGAAGTAATTTGTCAAATAAATGTAACAGACAAAAAGAAAACATTGCTCTCTGAATTGTAGTGTAGTATAAGTATAAAAGGTTTTGGGGTGGGGGGAACACTTAGCTAAAGTATTACAGTAAATGTAATTTCCACCACTGTAGGTATTATTCTAAGTGCAGAAGCTATTCAGAGTGATATGTGCTCTCTGGTGTGATGTTAGTGAGAGCTCAATTAGGCAACAGCACTGTATAAAAGTGTTGAACGAGCCACATTTAAATACAAGTATTGATAATTTGAGACTGATGTTGCTGAACAAGGTCAGGTGGAAATCAATTGGTTTGACAAAAATGCATCGTTGAATGTACGTAGATCAGAGTGATGCTTTTTCTGTATGATGTTTTGAAGCCTAAGACAATCTATTTTTACACAAAACAAGCAGGAAAAAAGATTAAAAATCTCCCACTGGGTGGGCAAGACACGCTTCATGCATTGACTGCATTGGCCCATAGTGGTCCTGCAGAAATGTGCAGCCAGACAGGACTCTTTTACTGGTCACATTTCCTCTGAAGCAAGGCAGTCATAAATAATCTTAATGCTTTCCAGACTGAATTCAATTACTTCTGTCACCCATTAGAAATGAATAAAAGCCAGTATGTGTATTTATTCTATTTGCATGTCCCTGGGGGATGATGTTTGCATTTCTTGAGTTTTCAGACAATGGTTTTCTCTGGATGGCTTGCTTAGTCAGAAAATTCATTTAATCAAATGCTAATCTGACATAATACCTAACAGATGCAGGAGACCTTCTGTGGCTTTTTATAGATAGCACTGCGTATTAACAGCACAACAGTCCTCTGCAGCAAAGTGGACCGGGTGGCTTGAAAGTGGGGGTGCAATAAATCAAAGTAATTCCTGCCAGAACATTTCCACTTCCCTCAGAAATAAGGAAAAATCTTCACCATCACATAAAAATCACAGTAGCCATTTTTCATAAGGCATGAGTTTGACCAAGCTTATTCCATCTGAAGGTAAATTTACACATCATCTGATTATAGCTGAAAGCCACATCCACATTTTTAATTAGGCTAGGGAACAGTGATTATTAAAGATTATGACAGATGCAACCCACTGATATCTCACCCATATCTAGACTGATAAGTGATGATTCTCTTCATCAAACACTCCCGGTGTGCTCCCACAACTGTTAACAATAACATCATCATAACCTGATTTTGAAAATGGAAAACATATCTCTGATTTGTCTCTGAGTGTTGTGTAGATCAGACAAAGCCATTTACTGTACTTTCACACATAGCATGAGCTTTAAATCACAGTTGGGCACCACTCTTTCTACAAGGTCTTCACATCCTTTTCTCTTAGCAAAAACACATTCTGAATTTGTCTTCTGCATATTCAGTGCTTTTGCAGTGAGCAGATAATGTGTGATGCCCTGCATAGTGCAAAGTGCCTTGTAAAGTGAAATAGTATGTACTGTTGTACTCTTTCCAGTAAGTGGTTTCAAAACTATGACTCTCTGAATGTAAAAAAAAAAAACATATTTTGAAGAAGCTGCCAAGGGAAAATGCTGCCACCTTGAAGTAATAGGTTGACATTAGTTTTGTTAAATGAGAAGAACAATGCTTCTCTCATATCTATAAAAGATGAAGCCACAAACAGTAACAAAAAGTAAGGAAAAGCCACCAACCTGGCTGTAGCCAGTGGCAGCAATACGTAGCACCTTTGAAGCTCGCTAATTGATTTGTTTAATCTAGTCAAAAGCTGAAGGGTAAGGATGACAGATGGTTTTTCCTACAGACCATACTGAAAAGGATTTTCCCTATGGATTTTCTCTTCTAACCTGTGTCAAGAAAGCATATAAGCATATTTCTGTTATGGTTGGCCCCCCTCACCAGGAGGGTGAGGGAGAACTGGGGTTGGACTCAAGATAGCGGACCCAGGTGCTAGTACAAAAAAAAAAAAGGTGGTTTATTGGAATAAATACAACAAAGTGACAACATAACAGGGTACATAATACTTACAACCAGGGATGGTCA